GCGGGGGGGGCGGAGGGAGCGTGGAGCCAATAGCGGTCAAGGATGGCGGAGTTGGGCGAGGCGGAAGGCGGCGGAGGAGGAGGGGAGTGGAGGCGGGCGCGGCGGGCGTTGGCGCGCTCGCGCTTATGGGCGTTCTGGTGGCCGCCAAGGGCTTGGGAGGTAAAGAACTTGCGAGGGCAGTAGAGGCACGGGAAGAGCCGAGACGACGGCGTCTGGGTGTGGTGGTGGTGGTGGATGTGGGACCTTCTCGTTGTTAGAGTTGGCTTGGAAGGCGTTGTTGACGATGATGGCGGTGGCTGTGGAGGTGGCTGCTGGCTGAGAAACTCGTACATTCCTGGGTCCGCCATTGATGGAGCTGTGAAGAAAGAAGAAGAAGAAAAATATGAAAGAGCTGAGAAATGAATGAGAAGTAGAAGTTTACGAGTTGTTTGCGAGTGTGAGAGTGACCCTCTGAGGTTTATATGGCGGTTTCGTTTCTGTCTGTCATGGGACGCTCGTTAACCCAAAAACAAAATATCATTGGTCGCAGAGTTGAAATGACTGATTTGCCCCTACGTGTGCAGCTGGTGGTACGAAATGACAGATATGCCCCCAGCCCCTAATTAAGGGATTTTCTTCTCGTGTGTTATTGATCATTTCTGATGTGAAGATGATCATCGTATACTTCGATCCTTCAACCATCCATATCTAAGTGTCAATGCGTAATTTCAATGTGGTTCCCGTTACTTCTATATATGTTCTCTTATTAACACCTACTTTTCTTTATTAATTAATGATGTTTGGTTTTTCTTTTTTCTTGAAAGATTAGTCAAAAGCTAGCGGGGTTGTTTATTTATACTTCTGTCTTTTAAAAGTGAAATGGCATTTAAACTCGAATCTACATAAACGCTTATGAACAAATTAGGTAGTGCATGATCACACCAAGAAACAGTAAAAGATTGAGAAATATTAGCAAAATATTACCTTAAGAACATAACAAACATGACCATTGTGAGTTCATAATAACTTCATGAATGTCATCAAGAATCCCACAAACGAATAAACGAACAAAGTTGGCCACATCCGACGAGGACGACCCGGTTGGAAAAGATCAGATTGGTCAGTATAAGCAGGGTTGATTTTATTTTATTTTTTGGGTGATTTTTTAGTATATTATATGACGCATTAAGATTTAATTCCTTCAGAAAAAAAAAGAGAGAGAATATTATGCATTAATATCATAAATTTGGATGCTGATCATGAAAGTTGATATGATATACATAGCTTGCTCCAAGTAATTGTTAATTTGTTATTGTTTAAGGAACTAGATCAAGTAGACTTTAGCTCATTCATGTTCTTTTTAAGTAGCAATAATTCGCAGCAAAAAGAAACTAAAAAAGAATGTTTGAATGTCGATCATGTCATATTTAACGTCATGCATGCTAATTACATATATTATTTGTATTTGTATGCATGCTCTATAACAATATTATTGCTTACTTTATGTATTTTATACACACATGTAATGTAATTACTTTACTGTTTGTTTATTTATAAAAAGTAAAACTCTACAGCTAATTAGGTATAGAGTAATTAAATGCACATGTACCAAATTCTTTACGCAGCTTTATATATAGTTTATACTATTAAAAAGGAAACTATGCAAAAAATAAATAAAATAATAATAAAACAGCGTTGGTTCATCAGGGTATGGGGTCCTATAATATTCATGATATCATCCTGCATGTATGTGTGTGTGTGTATATATATATATATATAATATGACATGCTTAGAGTAGAGATCCTTGATATCATTTTGATCCTCAATATTCATCTTCAATATTCATGATCAATATGACTGGACACGTGTACGACCCACAATAATTCTACCTATGAAATAAAATATATATACATGCAGTAAGGAAATTCAGTACTGCTGTCCAACCACCAACAACAACTACAGAAAGGTTAAAAAAAAAAGAAAGAAAAAACAAAGAAAACAAGGGAAATAGTAGGAAATAGGCCAATATGAAAAGTTTAAGAAAATATATAGGCTAATTTTTAGTTATAGAAATTAATATGTCATAACTTGTCAAGTTATGGTTCATAATCAGATAAGTTATGGATAAACTTGTCAAGTTATGGTTCATCACCAGATAAGTTATGGACAAACTTGTCAAGTTAGGGTTCATAACCAGATAAATTATGGACAATAACTTGTCAAGTTATGATTCATAACTAGACAAGTTATGGACGAAAGCAGTAATTTGGCATGTTTATTAACTTATGTAAATTATTGGCCTATTAATTTTAATTCATCTCAAGTCTTGGCCTATTTTCTTTTTTCTCCCAGAAAACAACTACTGAATTAAAACCAACATGTACGTGACTCTACTCTTATAGTCGTCAATATCAAACACGGGCAATTAAATTTAACAACTAAAGGATATATAAAAAGAAGTGGAGTCATATGCAACTCCAAGTCAACTCCTTGAATTATGGGATTTGTTACAAATTTTCATTATTTCATGATTGCAGGAGATTCATTATTCTTTCCAACATTAATTTAAGAAAAATATTGTACAAATGTTTTTGTGAAAAATGGCTTAATTAACCAAATTTTATTGAGCTATAATAATATATACCAAAGTACAATCTCACAAAATTATTATGTAAAGAATAATGAATCTGATCAAGAAATAATAAAAATCAAATATTTGCAATTGATTAATGAAATCTCAGAATTCAATAAGTTGATTTGGAGTCGTGACTTTCTTTATCAGTGAGGAGGGTAAAACGGGAAATAAGGAAAATGAGAACCAAATATTTACGACCTTTATTTATTTATTTTTTGAAAAAATGAATAAAAGGGGACGTTACGTTATCCTGTAAAGGACAGGAAGTGGTGACACTTACCTTCTTTCCTTCTTCAGTGCAGAGTGTGTGTGTGTGTGTGTTATGTCGGACAATCAAGTAATTACCTTCTCTCTCTCTCTCTCTCTAAATATGCAGATTGCAGAGAGAGATAAGCGATCCCATTGCAAGGAGATTTTGAGATGACACGTGTGCATCTTATGATTGGCCATTTTTTCAAAATGCTATATATATGTGTGTGTATATATATCAATATGGGGTGGTCCAGACTATATATACATGTGTAAATGTACCAGCGTAGGAGAGCCACCCCCGAAACCGGCCACTTTCTGAACCTAAGACGCCCCCCAACTCCAACAGAAAAATATTCCCTTTCTTTGATCTCTCTCTCTCTCTCTCTCTCTCTCTCTAGAAAGCAAAGGAATATTACGAAGGGCCACGTCCGAGTATACCACTTTCCACTGTGTGCAGTGCAGTGCAGTGAGCGAGGGAGATGGAGAGATGATCAGTGACGTTTACATGATCACTGATCATCAGATCATACACCTCTCTCTCTCTCTCTCTCTCTCTCTGGTAACAACTATATACCGTACCAAGTCTACTGCAGTCGTCGACCTCTGCCAATGGAAAATGGCTCGAACCCCCGTATGTATATATAAACATACATGTACATATTTTTGTAATTTCTGTATCAGACTTGGAGAGAGATATAGACAAATTGTAACCAAATAAGGAAGCGTTGATGAGATTGTGCGATTAAATGTCACATATATGTATGATGGCCAGTGACAAGTGTGCACTAAGACTACTAGTGTCACGTCCGTAGTTTTTTGTTTAGAATTAGAGCTTTCCTTTCTAATTACTTTGTTCTTGCATACACAAAAAAAAAAAAAAAAAAAAAAAAAAAAAAACACGGGGCTTTATATGTGTACGCGTATTTGTATATTTATTCATGCAATAAATATGCATTGTATGGATGTAATGTAAAATGGGGTCAAGCCTAGCTAATTAACTTACTTTGGAGCTAGTGCACGTTTGAAAACCTGATCATGATATAATCTGCAAAGATATGCAACTAATAAGATGCACGCACGTAAAAATTAATGAGAAAGGAGAGTCTCTTACAGTCTTACTTAATTATGGACGTGACACGCGCTGAGCTATATTTGGGCATATTGCTTTTGGTGATGTTTCTGAACTGAGAAATGCTATAATCGTGCTAATTTTTAAAACACTCCCACATGCCCATATAATAAGGCTGTACACTTTCACCAATCACTCCTATCCCATAAAATGTGATTGATGATGAAAAAACAATATATATATCTACATGTACGGAGTTTCAACAATTTCCATTAGCAAAAAAAAAAAAGTCTATAAATTTGTTTCATATCAGAAAGCAACAGCAAAAAAATTCACCCAATAGTCAAGATCAACAATTCTCACAGGACCATAATGTAAGGCATAATACAAATCCGGTTTAGACAAATCTGCATTATCAAGTCCATGATCAGTTTCTTCCTCCTCCGAATTATGCATTAGGCTCTCTCGTTTGTCCAAATAGACTGGTAACGAAGTTTGGATGCATTAGGATGTGCCTGCAGCAACCAACACATCCATCCATAAGAAAAATTTATAATAAACAAGAAATAGAGTTGGATAAGAAGAATATACAACAAATCTTACCTTGACATAAGCTTCCCAAACAGACATAAGCATTAGTTTCTACATCTTCATAATCTTCTCTCTGTAAAATAAAATTAAAAATTAAAAAAAAAAAAACGACAACCAGATTTCACAACATCAACGTCAAGAGAAAGAAATCGTTTCAATAATTGACAAGGACCTTTCGCTCTCATTTAATGTCTGTCGCATCTTTTAATATGGTGTCGTTTCGCATTCAATAGACAAAAGGAAACTGAACTGCATTTCCTTGTAACAACTAAGGAATGTAATTATTATAATTTTTTATTATTGTAACCAATGTTCCGACGATTTCTCGAGAAATAAGTAATTATCTCTTTCTAAATTGTGATATTTTACTTTAATTTTATTTTTTTCCCTTACAGTTAGTAATCAGGATATTGATATTTTTGTTTTTTTTGAACAAGAATGGTGAAACAAGGACTAAAGATTTCTTATCTCGCAAAGCACGATTATAGCGCCAACATAGGACTCGAATTAGCCAATTAGGATATATCATGAAGCCAATCTTTTTTTTTTTTTAACAGATTTCGGACCCAAGACTGGAAACAGTGTTTTACTAGGACTCTACTAATTCCATAATTGCCGCTCCTTTTTTTTTTTTTCTGAATAATCATAATTCTACTTAGTTCACAACTCGATTCCCTTTCGATTTCGTATGAGTTTTCTCATCAGTATATATACATACCAAGCGTCGAACTACTGTTCATTAAATCTAGATATCCTAGTAGAGTTTACTACGCACTAATTTTCTCTAGCGATCACATTTATTCACTCTCTCTTGCTCTTC